CCAGAGTGCTGGGATCACAGGCGTGAGCCACCGCGCCCGGCCACAGGCAGATTCTTAACCTCTCAGTTTCCCCATTTGTAAAATGGGGATAATAGTCGCTCCCTCACGGGGTCTTTATGAGTATTAAATAACTTAATATATCAAAGTACTTAGACTAGAGCCTGACGCACAGCAAGTTCTGTATAAGGATTTGCTTCTTTTTCCCCCCTTTCACTGTATAATTTAGTGAACCAGAACCACAGATTTTGGATTTTCAAACCCAGCAGTATAAACTCTTTCCACTACTGGCTACTGCCTATGCCTTCCAGTTTGTAGGAGCGTACATGAAGGAGACCTATCATCGGATTAATGAAGGCATTGGCCAGGGGGACCTGAGTGAACTGCCTGAGGTATGTGTTTGGTCTCATTCACTTGTGAGCACCCTTCTGTTTCATCTTTGCCTGTGGGATAATGTCCAGAGAAAACTAAATGTTGGTGTTGCCTGAAAAGAATTATATATTCTAAGAACTTTTTCTAATCAAGAATGGTTCAGCTATGAAGATATGTGGTTTTTGTTTTTAAGTATTATCAGAAATATTGTGCCATGTTGGTCATTTGTCAATCAAAGGAACATAAGTGGTGGCTTTCTTGCCAAGTAGAACAGTTCAAATGGGTGTGGGAAGGCTATTAATTCTTTAGCCCAGTCAGAAAACTGTGCTGCTTTAGTTTACATGTGTGGCAACTGGTTTTAACAGTGACCAGTGCTGCTGTAGGGGGATGCTGTTTTCACAGATGTTCTGACTTGTGCTTGTCTCCTCAGCTTCACGCACTCACAGCCGGGCTTAAGGCCTTCACTTCTTGGACCACAAATGCCGCTATCGAAGCATGTCGGATGGCTTGTGGTGGGCATGGCGGGGGAGAGAGAATCCGCTATGATGGGAATGTGTATGAGAACTTGTTTGAGTGGGCCAAGAAATCCCCACTGAACAAAGCAGAGGTAAAAAAAAAAAAAGTCATTTTACCTTTTTAAATTCTTCATGTATAATGAAGAAAGAAAGACCTCTAGAAAGGGATTCACTTGTGAAAGCTTTCAAAGCATTGTGGCCACTTCTGAGAGTCACTTTACTTGACCAATAGATTCAGAAGGGAACTGATATATCCTGCAATAGGCAAGGTTTTAATTATTAATACCTTGAATATCTGATGATTAATTGAACATTTTCAGACTTGTACCAAAAGAATACCATGATGTACTTCCATGTACCTTTGTCTAGCTTCAACAATGATCGCCCATAGCCATTTGTGTTTCAGCTCCATCACCTCCTGGGAGTATTTTGTAAATCCAAGACATCAGATATCTTTTTTTTTTTTTTTTTGAGACAGAGTCTCACTTTGTTGCCCTGGCTAGAGTGTCTTGGCATCAGCCTAGCTCACAGCAACCTCAAACTCCTGGGCTCAAGCAATCCTGCTGCCTCAGCCTCCCGAGTAGCTGGGACTATAGGCATGCGCCACCATGCCCAGCTAATTTTTTCTATATATTTTTAGTTGGCCAATTAATTTCTTTCTATTTTTAGTAGAG